ACGAATGGAGCAGGGAGAGTGAGAGTGGAGAGTTGAGACGTGAAGCAGCTGTGAGAGACGAGGAGGAGCACGTTCCAGAAGAGAGAGGACTCGACCGCGCGCGAGAGAGAGACGAGAGAGAGCGAGAGAGATACGAGCGCTCAGCTTGCTCACGCCAACCTGATGAGCTGAAGCCTTGATTTTGCAAGAAGTCTGAGCGCAGGAGCAGATCACGTACAACGCGCCACCTGCTCCTCCCACACAATACGCACACGCACGCGCGCACGCGCCGGCACGCGCACATACACACACACACCCATCCACACCACACACACATACACCACACACACACACCACACACACACACACACACACACACACACACAACACACACACACACATACAACACACACACACACACAGCACACACACACAAACACACACACACACCACACACACACACACCACACACACACACAAACTGTAGGCAAACACTGTGTGTCGCAGCATACATAAACGATACACGCATACCGGTACGCAAACACGCGGCCACACGAAAGTTACGAGACGCCGCAGGCTACACAAGAGGCACTCAATATAATAATTGCCATTTTCGTAATTTGACTGTTGTATATAATTATGCTCGCCATCTGAATCGCAGTCACGTAACGGGGGATCCCGTCGCTATAATATAATGCAGATGAGAAGCCATTTTGTTTGAAATGGAAGCTTGGATCGGCTCTATGGAAGCGCAGATCCACATGCAGTACCCTGGAGATTTCGATGCTGCTTGTTGGACCGTGCGTGCGTGTGCCGTGCCGTGCGTCTGCTGTGCGTGCGTGTCGTCCGTGCGTCCGTCGCGTCGTTGCCGCGTCGTGCGCAGTGTCGGCGCTGGAAGTCGTGTGGTGGTTGCGTGTGGTGCCGTGTGTTGAGGGTGTTCACCTGTGTGTGATCGTGGTGTGCTGTGTGTGCTGTGTGCTTGTGTGGTGCCACCCTGTGTGTGTGTGTGTGTCACCTGCTCATGTGTGTACTAAAACGTCAGTGGAGTTTTGAGCAAACAGTTAGACCAGGTGCAAAAAGGATCGATGCAGGGAATAGCAGGTGGGTCTACTGTACCTTACCCTTGCCCAACGCCCGAATAAACCCCCCCCACCTTTTTTTTTAAAAAAAAAATTTTTTCTTTTTAAATTACTGTCAGGAAGTCATAATTCCTGGTTTCAATTTTGGTAATAATTAATCATTTCTGTTCATCTTCGCGGCGATATGACTACAGTTGGCATTAAAAGGGAATTCATGTTCATAAAAGCGATTCTGCTCATTTGATAGGGCGTTTAGTATACATAGAGGGCGACACTGAGCTAACGAGATGTTTCTTCGCCTTCGTTAAAATATTCTCTTGAAATTATATAATATATATTCTTATCATTATATTATATTATATTATATTATAGTATATATTATTTACGATTACATTATATTATATTATAATTTACTATAATTATTCTTTATATTCCTGAAAATTATCAAGCGACGAAATTATTTGACTGAATTAGCATTCGGAAGCGGTTTGTTCTGCGGAAGACGTCAGGCGACCGGTGCGGATGTAGCTCATACGAGAAGATGAGCAAATGTTACTGGCACGAAAATGGCCGAGATGGTGCGCCTGGTAAATGTTGGGTTTTCTCATGTTACGGTCGATGTTACAAGCCGTTTTATAGTTGAAATATATTATTTGTGTTATCTGGTCATTATGGATGTGAATCTATGGTGACAATATCTCATTATAATATGGGCAAACAGTAGGGGACAGTAATAGAAAGTAGCTGATAAAATATTCGTGTTATCAAACGTCGACTCACTGCTGATATTTTAATTAATGTTTAATCGGTTGGATGGATGGCATGGATGGATGAATGCAATGAATGAGATGGATGAATGGAATAGATGGATGCAATGGAGGATGGCATGGATGGATGGATGGCAACGTGGTATGGATGGTATGGATGGATATGGATTGGATGTGATGGATGGATGGCATGGATGGAATGGAATGGATGATAGATCGGATGAATGAATGAATGGATGAAATGGATGGATGGCATGGGATGATGGCATGCGTATGGTGTGAGGGATATGGATGGATGGAAATGGGCTGATGGGGTGATGGGAATGGATGGAATGAATGGATGGATGGATGAATGGATGAACTGGATGGATGGATGGTGATGGATGATGGGATGGGAATGGATCGGATAGTATGATGGTGGAAGGACGGATGTATGATGGATGATGGATGGATGGCATGGATGGATGGATGGATGGATGGATGGATGAAATGATGGATGATGGATGGATGCGATGGATGGATGCATGGATGGAATGGATCGATGGATGGAGGATGACATGCGAATGGATGGAGGGATGGATGGATGGATGTATGATGGATGGATGGATGGATGGATGTGGATGGTGGATGGATGGATGGATGGATGGATGATGCGAGGAATGGATGGATGGAATGATGGAGGCAATGTGGATGATGGATGGATGTATCAGGATGGATGGATGATGGATGGGAGGGTATTGATGGTATGGATGGATTGGACGGGCGGACGCACGGACAAACGAACGGACGGACGAGAACGGACGACGGACGACGGTACGAACGGTACGGACGTACGGACGACGTACGGACGGCACGGACGGACGGACGACGGAACGGACGGACGGACGGACGGACGGACGACGGACGGACGCGGACGGCGACGGAGGGACGGTACGGCGGCGGACGACGGACGACGGACGACGGACCGACGGAAGTACGACGACGGACGACGCGACGGACGGAACGACGGACGGACGGACGGACGTACGGACGCGACGACGGACCGGACGGACGGACGGACGGACGGACGACGGAACACGCGACGGGACGGACGACGCGACGGACGGAACGGACGGCATGAACGACGAAAAGAATGGATGGATGGAAGGAAAGATAGATTGACAGGCGGCAAGCCAGCATAAACAAGATAATAGACACAGCGACTGAACGACTCGACGATTATGCACGGTAATACGGCTATACTTACTATAAAAGCAAGCAGTAAAAGCTGTCAACAGCGTACCCCCCCCCCAACCCACCCCCACACGGATGAGATGCAATCGACTGCGAGCGGATACGTTTTCCATACAGTTACTAAATACATTATTTGCAGACGTCTCCAATATTGCTCACCGCGATCAGCCTTCTTCAAGCACTTGCGCGACTACGTGACTTTTCCACATGATCGTGGGCCCGACATATTATATTATCATATCCGCGGGCGATCATGACGCAGCACGATTGCCTCGATATTTCCGCGGATAATATTCGATGTAGACCTTTTGGTTGAAAAGATGTTCCCGATGCGATGTGCCGCCGATTCGTGACGCTGATAACGATAACGACAGGGAAAAATCTGCGGGACATGGTTTGTAGCTTCATATATGCATAGGAAATTACGCACTCACTCGCTCGTTTGCCTGCCCGTACTCCGAACACCCAACCACCTACACCCACTCACTCACCCACTCGCTCGCTCGCTCGCTCGCTCGCTCGCTCACTCACTCACTCACTGCACTCACTCACGTCACTCACTCACTCCACTCACTCACTCACTCCACACACTCACTCACCACTTCACTACTCAACTCACTCCACTCACTCACTTCACTCACTCACTCACTCCACTCACACACTCACACCACTCACACACTCACCACACTCACTCAGCTCACTCACTCACTCACTCACTCACTCACTCACTCACGAGCCTCACACACTCACACACTCACACACTGCACACACTCACTCACTGCAACTCACTCACTCACTCACTGCACTCACTCACTCACACACTCACTCACTCACTCACACACTCACTCACTCACTCACTCACTCACTCACTCACACTCACTCTACCCGCTCTCCCCTCTTAGCAATTTAATGCTTCCCGAGCGTTACCATGGTGACCGCGGCCTACGTTGTTTACTTTGTTGTGCGGTATACCTTTTAGCAGAGATTCGAGTACGACATAAAAGGTTTGTTTTTATTTTCTCGCAAAGTAGTGGTTTCGGGAAAAATAACGGTTTTCCGAAACGATGCGGGAATGCAGTAAATATAGGAATTACTCGTAAAGGTATATAAAGAGATGTGAGTGGAAAGCGCCCTCTATGAAGGTCTATCGTGTTGTGGGTAGATTCCTTGGCAGAGTGTAACCACACACTACAATAATAAAACGCGGTAGCATAACTCTCAACAATTATGTTATTTTCGGCCGTTCTCGTGTGGGGCTCGTTAATTTTTCCAACCCGATACGCCACACGAATGCCTAAATAAATATACTTGCCTAAATAAAAACTACATATCTCTCGTATTAGAACTATTGCAAAAACTCCTAGACAAACACACGTGATTGCGCTCGCATTTTTTATAAGTAAAATAATAGGTTAGTTCTATCAATAAAATAATTAATAATACTGAAAAGAATTATAATCGTATTAATAATACCAATAAATGACTGCAAAACATTCTCTGTATTATTACATACTTTCTACTTTCAAATCATATCAGCGGTCACTCATTATATAGCGAATTGCAACACGATGTTTTCGAAGCTACAGTACTCGCCCGCCCCGCGGTTAGTTTGGGCTTAGGAAATCCGCGTGCAGTTTCTCTACCGATTAAAGCGAAATCGCTCCCTCGAGTCGACCGAGTGTCAACGGGAACCCGCGACTGATTAATGAACCGGCTGCAGTGCGGTTTGTATAATGTGTCTGGCAGCAGCAGAGGTTCTGACGGTGTAGTCACGCATTGCGTGTGTACGAGAGCGTGATCGCACTCACGATTCTCTTTGTGAGCGGTGGTGGGTGGGAGAAGGGGGAGGGTGAGAATCCCGTGAGCATGTGCCAGTGTCA